GCTCAAATGAACTTCCTGTGTACAATCAGCAAAAGCTCAATTGCAGTGCAAGATCAATGAACGCAACTAGGTTGAAAGCTAGTGTCACCAGCATACATACATAGACTGCAACTACATTGGAATAGTGAGATTGGTTGTTAGAATAACTGAAATCCATGTGGTGCCCTTCGCACATGCAGGTTCACTATCTTCAGTCTTTCTACCTTGCACCTCTGACGTCCTACCCCCTCTTCGGCACCTTTGAATTTTCTTCAGCCTAATATTTGAATGTCAAGTCACTAAGTATGATTTTGGCAGGAGGAGGAGGTGAAGGAGGAAGAGGAGGAGGAGGTGGAGAAGGAGGAAGAGGAGGAGGAGGTGGAGGAGGAGGTGGTGGTGGTGGTGGAGCAGGAGGAGTTGGAGGAGGAGGACGACGATGATCCGGATAAGAAGACATACGCGATCTACTTGAGCCATGTGGCAGAAACCCCCAAAAACAAAATAGTGTGTCTAATGTGCTTTCTTGAAGATGGTGGCGAGCCAAATCCAATATTAAAATCACAGGTATGTCTTTAATTTTTGTTATATTTTTGCAAACCTTTGACATTAGCAGCATTGCCTTAATTTAACAATGGATGTACTACTGTTTGTTTGCTCGCAACTTTCAGGTCGAAAAACATTGCAATAATCGTCATTACACCTTAGGTATCAAGTGTCAGAAAGCTGGTTGCATGGTTAGAGCTAGGTTCAAGGGAGATATTGGCAGACATCACAAGTATTGTCATGATCTTAAAGCCGGTAAGAAAATATATAAATAGAATAACTGGAATAACACTGTGGGCTATTACAAAATAACATTGTGTATGATTTCAGGCTGGTGGAAGAAGCCCCCAAGACCTGATAGAGCTTAGTGTGATTTAGTCCAAGAAAAAGGTGGAGCCATGTTTGGTTGGGAAGAAGCCCCCAAGATCTGATAGAGCTTAGTGTGATTTAGTCCAAGAAAAAGGTGGAGCCATGTTTGGTTGGAAAGACATGAGGAATTTTCTTTAGTGGGTTATATTGTCCTGAATGTGTATATAAACAGTGTTGTGATGTTTTTTAAATTGCTACGTGGAAGCAATGCGAGTTTGTTGCTAGATTTTCAGTTTGTTCATGTTCTAAAGCTTCCCTGATTTGTCAGAATGTGAGTTTTAACCTGCTGTATGAAAAGTTTGAGTGCAATTTTCTTCTGGATGTAGAAGATTCACTGTGAGTTTGGCTAATTGACATTGTTCTTCTGAACATGTGTTTCGTGATGGTACAGTTTCAAGCTTTGAGTGGCTAATTTAACTTGTTCTGGACATAGACGTTTCATCCAAGATCTGCTCATGTTAGAATAAAACCGAGGCATACTATCATCCGAGGACCAAACAATCACACGAGCACAACACCGAGCTTTGTTAACGAGGTTCACCGATATGGCTACATCCCCGGGGCCTGACTACGGGCGCTCCTCCCCGTGACACCGTCACAATACCGCACCCGGTCGCCCTGGACGCCGGCACAAGCCGTCGGCTTCCCCTGCGTTCCGGTGCTATTATGTTGGCATAGGTTACATCGTGTGTCTACCCCCACTATATATGAGAGACCTAGGATACAAGTGTCCTACTAAGATACGACTCCATATCCTATCTAAACACAATACAACTACAAGTCCAACTGTAACCTACCTTGTACACAATATTCGACACAACTCTAACAAACTCCACCTTGGCGAATATTCTCCATCACCATGAATTCGTCAATGCGTCAAACTTCCATGTACATTGGACTTGAGCTTATCCCATGAGTACCGCTGCTACTCCAAAGACTCCATGTGACTCCACCTGCCACTTGTAGTCCCTCCTTTTCTTGACCACAGTCAACACTCGAACAAAATTAAGTTCCTATTTACTCTAGTGTATGCTCCCAACTTCCAGAGCTTCGTTCAACGCATCCCACACTGATCACTGACCTGCGTGAAAATGAACAACTCACATATTGGGTGTCACACATAAGAGTTACCTGAACTCAACATCACTGCTCCTTTCTTAACCGCCTGTCTGAAACTTGAAGGAATTTCACCATTGCTTGTAGTCATCCCGAGTCAAATTCGCAGTTGTCTCACCAAATATATGACCACCAAAGCCCTGGCCCGTCTCCATGTCCCGTGCATACCGCACACCTCGCCGCTATTACCGCGTCGAGCCTTCGCTGTCCCGGTCGAGTCTCAAGGATCGCGACCCACACCACTCAACCCACACTGCAGAGTACCACCGATCATCACCGATCAATGACGAGTTTCACGCTTCCATCAGACCACTGGGCTCCAGTTCAAATTACGTGTCACTCGCTTTTCCTGCTTGCTGAATAGGCTTCGATTCCCTGGATCCTTACACCGTAGCCCCTCAATCCAGCTCCACCTTCAACATGACTCCATGGTAGATGATCAGTCCACCCTCGCGCCCCCTCGACTTCAAGCTCCGTGTGTACGCCATCTTGAATCAACCACGCGCCATAGTCTTGTCGAAGCCACACAAGCCCTTGGGGCCTGCGCCACGTGTTTCCACGCCCAAAAGTCGGTCACCATCGGCATCACGCTCCTATGTCGTCGTCGCCGATCCCACCACCGTCTTCTGTACCAACCGACTCACGTCGATCCGTCAGACTGTCTAGTCCGACCCAGCCGAACTCGTTCGACTGTACGACACACTCAAGGCTGCCAAATCATCTTCCGTGAATTTCCATCCATCACCTGATAATTCCATCTTAACTGACATGACTTCCCGCAACGCCTTCAAGCATCTCTGTCGCGCGAACAAATCTTTCACCTGTATCTGCCATAACCCAAGGTTTTCAGTTCCGCAAACTGCTCCACCTCAAACCTAATACCCATTAGCGTCATGGTTCTTCGTACGGCTAACTCAGTGAAAAATAACTGAGCTCCCACGCGATGTCTAAGTACACAACCGTGTACATGCAGCAAATCCCAGCCAAAGAAACCTTTGGACCTCTTCACGTGGTGTAACTCCCTGGCACTCAACCCAGATGCTGGCTAATTGCCTTGTCCAAGCACTTGCCAATTCCGATGGATGCACGTATCCCTTGATGGATTTCTTTCGCCAATTAACTTGATCTGCCTGTCTGTGTCACAACGAGAGGCCGTTGCCTCCAGGGACTCGGTCCCGATTTTTTTCAAAACAAATCTCAGGTGCACACTTCCTCGATCTCCAGCGAACCAACACCCCGTTGCCTTTGCCTTCCTGCCTCCAACTATCAGGCTGGCACCCTCGGATGGGCCTCCTGGCATGGGCCCTAAGAAGTCAAAAATCCACAACGGTTCCGATCCACAACACGTACGCGCACGGCAGCCTGACGCTCGCCCGATCGATCCACCTGATCGACCGCCGCACGTCTCGCCTGTACGCCGGCAGATGCTGCAACTCGCCGAGATCGCTTCCAGATTGCTCCGAACGTATTCGCCCACAAAAGATCCACGCAATCGCCGCCCTGCTGCGGACGACGCACAACCAATCCACGAATTCGTCGGTTTCTTCCTCTAGATCAACTTTCAGCAGCCTCCGAACAACCTAGCTCATGATACCATTTGTTAGAATAAAACCGAGGCATACCGTCGATCATCCAAGGACCAAACAATCACACGAGCACAACACCGAGCTTTGTTAATGAGGTTCGCCGATATGGCTACATCCCCGGGGCCTAACTACGGGCGCTCCTTCCCGTGACACCGTCACAATACCGCACCCGGTCGCCCTGGACGCCGGCACAAGCCGCCGGCTTCCCCTGCGTTCCGGTGCTATTATGTTGGCATAGGTTACATCGTGTGTCTACCCCCACTATATATGAGAGACCTAGGATACAAGTGTCCTACTAGGATACGACTCCATATCCTATCTAAACACAATACAACTACAAGTCCAACTGTAACCTACCTTGTACACAATATTCGACACAACTCTAACAGCTCAGGTGAAGCATGTTGCTACAGCTCGTTTGAAATTTGCCAAAATTCACATCATTCAAAATTCATTTAAGGTTTCCATTTTAATTCAAATACTGTATTACTGTACTGATGTGTCCAAATGTTCAACTTGTACCTTCATATTTTGCAAAAAACATTTAACTCAAATTCTGAGAGCTGTGGTGTAAATTCTCAGGCTTGCATGGTGATTGAGTGCCTGCTGGTAGATGCCCTCTGAATTTGCATCATAAATCAAGCATTGCTGTGGCAGTCTACATGCTCTCGCTGATTTCAAGTACAATTAACACAAGTCAAGCATTGCTGGCACTTCCTCAGCGTTGCTCTGCATATATTTTCTTCCATACTTCGTCATTTTTCTGAGAAAACACCGCATAGAAGAAAAACTAGGATGTGCAATAGTATATTGCTCCCAAATCTTGCTGCAAGGAGTTGCTTCGGCATATGCAGGTCATGGAGATGCAAATCCCTTATGAACATTAGCAATCTGGAAACAACTTGCTGCCTCTAGCCCACCAAAATCTTCTTAAAGATCAAATAAATGATTTACATTGGTTTTACTTGAAAGAATACAGTTACTGGATAATAATTATTCATCCAGAGTGTTAGAAGCATGTACAAGGGTAAAAATAAAATCAGCAAATAAACTGTAGCAATGGAGCTATCCCAATTACAGCTATTTCTATAGTGGCTCCATATCTAGTTCAGTGGGCTAGCACATCTGAAAAATAATACTCACTCCATCCTATAATATAAGAGCGTTTTTTACACTAGTGTAGTGTCAAAAACGCTCTTATATTATGGGACGGAGGGAGTAGAAAACTGTCACAATATCAACAAAATCATTAGCGTGCCACATAAATGTACCTCTCCTTTATCCACTAGTTCCAAGATTTTTTGTTTGAAATTATTATTATTATTATTTTCTTTATAGAAAATTATTGGAACGACATACAACGAGGTACAAAGATTGATATATCAATATAAATGAAGCATCTTCTGGCTAATCATGTGATGCTAAATGTATCTTCCGGGGATTTGGTATAAACCACACAGGGGCTGGCAAGTTGGACCAAAGCTGAGGTGATACAATTCTTTCAACAGAGCAATTTCCAAGGTTGAGGACTCCAATATCACGCTGACTCTTCATGCTTCCAAAATGATGATAGGCATCATCCTCATCAGTAAAATAGACATGATTGGACTTTAACTGTGGATATTCATCGGCACTCAAACAAAGTGATTGATTATGCCCAAGAAACATCACACAGTCACATGAGCTAGTTATGTCTTCAAGCTTTTTTGCAGCAAAATCCACTTTAAATACGTCAAACTTGTCAGTGAAGGTCACATGAGAGTCATAGCCTAACTCAGGTTCCGAAACATCGCCATCCTCCCTATCCTCAGGTTTCAGCCCCGACAGATCCGTCGCATCCTCAAGCCCCTGTCCTGAAACATCCCCATCCTCCCAACCCAAACAGTTTCTTGACTTCCAAACTTGCAACAAATCACCGTATGGAGCTTGAGCAATGTACATGTAGTTGCAGTCCTCGATCCAAGCCTTCATTCGCCCCAGAACGATATTTTGTGTTACTACAGGTGCACTGAGATCAAACGTACGGACTTCTCCGCGTGAATCCAATGCAAAGAGCAGGCCATCCTTAAAGAAACAATCTGCATAATTAACATGTGGTGGCAACCAAGTCCATCTATCATCCCCTGCTCTTGCAAATGAAAGTTGTGACTCTGGATTATGCTTGAGTACCACATAATAATCTCCAGTCGATGGATCAGATGACAAAAATGCCTTCTCAAAGAGGTAGTCCCGCAGCTCGCCAAGCGAAAAGACCGAGGGCGTAGGGAAGTCGACTAAGCGTGGAGTGCCGGTGTACCATGAGTACTGATACTTGTGAAGAGCGCCGCCACCATCAAAGATGGGCTTCACCTGCTCAATGGTGGCGACGGAAGGCAGGGCGATCTGGTCACCGGTGACGGGGTTGAGGAGGTGCAGCTCGGACCTATTGTCGGCGGTGATGATCCAACCATGATTGGAGCCGATCACATACCTAGTGCGAATTGGTGGGTCTGGAAGGGCTAGTATGTAGGATTTGTTCTCCACGAGGCTGAAGAGGCCTGCAACACTCTCACCGGCAGTTTCAGTGGTGTATAGGAGGCATGGTGTCTGTGTCAACCTGAAAAGCCCAAGATTGCAGAGCCTGGTGCAGGCAGAACGCCATGATGAGCAGACGGAGCCTGCCCGGACGAGGTCAAGTGTCTCAAGGCTGGCGAATATGCACATCAGGATGTCCTCCGGCAGCTCCGGCGAGGAATACATCTGGGGTTCGCTGGGTAACAGACGATGGGCGGCGAGGAATTCGACAAGCCTCTGTCCATACGTTGTCAGCACACCCGACAAGGCCAAAATGCTGCAACCAACGAGGGGAATTCCAGACGGCGACATGAAGAAGCTGAGCTCTCGCTGTATGTCTCCCCAATCTCCCTCCCCTGTGCTTGATGATCTCTCTCGTAGATGCAGGAATACTAGACACGGAGCGACAGAGGACAGGCAGGTAGGCTCCTGTATGATACTCCTACTTATAGAACGCCGACCGAGGCCTCCTCGCTCGTAGGTGAAGCAGATCCGACCCGGGATCGGGACGGATATCGCCGGAATTTGATTTCCTGGATTAGAAAACAGGACGCGGTCAGGAAAAGATACGGATTTTGTGTTATTTGCTGGATGGAGGAACGAACTTCCACAAATTCCGAGTTCCCCACCGTTTCGTTCTACTACTGTAGCCCCGGCAATGGCGAGAGGCGGAGATTGCTAACCGGCGGAAGGCAGCAGGCGGCACGAGGAGATTGGCTGGGGTATGGAGAGGGGAGGAGCAGCCGTAGCAGGCCGTCCGTCGTGTCCCACGGGGAAGAGTTCGGCGGTGAGGGTCCGTGGGAGCCAGCCGGAGGATCCGCGTCGCCGTCGCCGCCCCGGCGGTGGAGGACCCTGGGAGGCCAGCTTAAGCCCTTTTCTTTTCTTCCTAAAACCAGCTTAAGCATTTCAGCCCTTTCATAAAACATTTCTGGAACCTCCTTCTAAAACTTGCTACAGTTGTACTCCCTCCGTCCGAAAATACTTGTCATCAAAATGGATTAAAAGAAATGTATCTAAAACTAAAATACATTTAAATACATCCACTTTTATTCATTTTGATGACAAGTATTTCCGGAGATTTACATTTCTTTGCTACTTCTTCCTCCTTTTTTGTATACAAACCCAATTTCAACTATACTAGCTCAACATATTAATTTAAAACTTGACAGGTATATTTCTAATGCATATATTTCACCAACATTCAAGTTCGTTGCTTTCAAATTTAAATATTCAAAAACAAACACACCATAGGGGCCAAATGAATTAAATCCAAATAAAGCATGATAAAAACACTACATTCAAGAACTATGAATTTGCCACAAGTGATCAACAAGATCATCTTGGAGTTGGTGATGAGCTTTCTGATTCTTGATTTTGCGATGTGCACCGGCTCCACATGTGCAGCATTGTAGTCAAAGTTAAATCCCTCCGGTTAGCCTATCTCGTCCTTGATGATCATGTTGTGCAAGACAACACATGTTGTCAATGATCTGTCGTAGTATCTTTGGGTTCCAACATTCAACAGGACCACAAAAAATCATGAAGCAAACTTGAAGCACCCCAAAAGTTGTCGACATCATTTCTCACGGATTCTTAGCTCTTTGCAAGTGAGAGTTATTGTTACCTTCCAGACGTTGAATTGTCTTCACACATGTGGTCCATGGAAGATATGTGTCATATGCAAGGTAGTAGCACACGTTGTATCCATGGTCATTGATAACATAGTTACAAGGTGGAGCTTGGCAGGCAGAAAGCCTTCCAAGTAGGAGAGATCTATGCAGAATTGAGGTCATTGCGCAAGAGATGCATTTTTAGCACCTAAATTTTTTATCCTTGATTTTTTCTTTGCGAGATTTGGCGCCCGTTTTTGGAGATAATTGGTTTTTCTCTGGATTTTTGTTGGACGATGACAATAAACTAGCAACTCTTATCCTCGATCGTAGAGATATTTCCGTCAAATCTGCTTTTATAACTACCCAGTTATGTAGTAGTATTTGAGATACCCTAAGTGAGTCGGTCCTCCTCTCGAGAACATGTGAGGACCTCAGGTCGGAGCAACTCCTATTCTTGATGATCTTCGATATTTATGATAATTTTGGCCATGTTAATTTTTAGTATTGTGCAGCAGAGACGAATGGTGTGGCTCATGGACTAGCTAGTAGGGCCAGGGTTGAACCTCCAGGTGTGTGGACGGAGAACCCTCCCTCTTCCATTCGTAGTGTTACTTTGGATGATGTATCAATTTTTGAGATGAAATAAAGCAAGCAATAAATGGCATTTCCTCAACAACAAAAAAGTGGGGTACAAGTCCGTGAGCCCAAAGGTACTACAACTAAAACAATGAGGGGCGCACTTGAGAGAGGATCGGAGCAAGGCATATGTCTAAAGGCACTAGACGACAATGGAGACACTACACATCAGAACATGCACCACGCCAAGATCGGTCTCGAATACACCACACGCATTAGCAAACTACATAACATCCTTGCGAGGCAATGGAGTCACCCGTTCATTGACCAACTTGAGAAGTTTGACAGCCCACAACACCTTATCCAGATCAGAAGCGCCCCGTCGACTATGAGATGACGGTGCTGACTTCATCAATCTTAGGATTTGCTGGCCTAGACTCTCATAGGAGTCCCATTGGTGGCATTCACTAGCATGGCCACCGTTGGGACTCTTTTGGGCTTTGTTCGAATACACCCCATCCCAAGGGGATTGGAGGGGATTTAGGGGGAATTTGACTTGTATGGGATTTAAACACCTCCAATCCCTGCCAAACCCCTTAAATCCATGTCAACCGAACACAACCTTAAGAGACAGACAAAGGACGAAAGCAAGTTGGCCCCTACATCAAAAGCCTCGACGATGCGCATGAACTGTGCATGCCCCCTCCCCCTCCCCCCCTCCCACACACACGACGCCTAGTTCAGTTGTGGGGCATCCTGGGAGAGGATATCAATGTCAAGCATAGAAGCATGAGACGATGACAGACTTAGGGTGGTCGGTGAGAGAGATGTCATGCACAACAATCTGATGGTTAACCATCATAGCGAGGCCACCGAGAGGATAAAATCACCTTATCCCGGTGGTGCACGTCGTTGGCGGAGGAGGCGGTGCAAGCGAACGGTCCATCCCCGCTTGGAAGTTACCTCCTACTCTTTAATACACTAAATAAAATTACAATGGTAATTAACCTTTTTTGAGAAAAAGATCTAGTGATACCAACTTTATGTCACATGAACCGTGTATTAACAAAGTGGTACTAAGTGAAAGACTTGAATTAATGAAACAAAACACGCCTTATGTTAAAACTAATTAATTTGTGATACGTCTCCAACGTATCGACTTTTTCTCATGCTTTTCCTCTTGTTTTGGACTCTAATTTGCATGATTTGAATGAAACTAACCCCGGACTAACGCTATTTTCAGCAAAACTACCATGGTGTTGTTTTTGTGCAGAAATAATAGTTCTAGGAATGGAACGAAACTTTGAGAGAATTTTTTATATCAATAATAAGAATTTCTGGAGCCAAGACCTGCAGGAGAGGGGCACCTGGGTGGGCACAACCCACCAGGGCGCGCCCCCCTCTCCTGGCGCGCCCAGGTGGGTTGTACCCACCTGGTGGCCCCGCAGACAACTCCCCTGATACTATAAAATCACATATTTCAAGAAAAAATGAGCGAGAAAGAATTATCGCGATCCACAAGACAGAGCCTCCGCCAAGCCCTGTTCTTCCCCGGGAGGGCATATCTAGAGTCCGTTTGGGGCTCCGGAGAGGGGGATCTTCGTTCTTCGTCATCACCAACCCATCTCCATTACCAATTCCATGATGCTCCCCACCAGGAGTGAGTAATTCCTTCATAGGCTCGCTGGTCGGTGAGGAGTTGGATGAGATTCATTATGTAATCGAGTTAGTTTTGTTAGGGAGTGATCCCTAGTATCCACTATATTCTTAGATTGATGTTGCTATGACTTTGCTATGCTTAATGCTTGTCACTTTGGGGCCGGGTGCCATGAACTCAGATCTGAACTGTTTATGAATTCATCATTATATCCATGTTTTAGATCCGATCTTGCAAGTTATAGTCACCTACTACGGTTATGATACGACAACCCCGGAGTGACAACAACCAAGCCCACTCTCCGTGATGACCGTAGTTTGAGGAGTTCATGTATTCACTATGTGTTAGTGCTTTCTTCCGGTTCTATATTAAAAGGAGGCCTTAATATCCCTTAGTTTCCAATATGGACCCCACTGCCACAGGACGGTAGGACAAAAGATATCATGCAAGTTATTTTAATAAAGCACTTATGACTATTTACGGAATACATGCCTACATTATATCGATGAACTGGAGCTAGTGTCGTATCGCCCTAGGTTATAACTGTCACATGATGAATATGATCCAACAACTCACCGGTCCAATGCCTACGAATTTATCATATATTGTTCCTGCTAAGTTACTATCGTTGCTACTGCTATCGTTACTGCTACAATACCACTTCTATCACTGTTACCGTTACTGTTACTACTGCTGCTATCATCAAAAACTATCATACTACTGTGCTACAGATCACTTTGCTGCAGATAATTAATCTCCAGGTGTGGTTGAATTGACAACTCAGCTGCTAATACCTTCAAATATTCTTTGGCTCCCCTTGTGTCGAATCTGTAAATTTGGGTTGAATACTCTACCCTCGAAAACTGTTGTGATCCCCTATACTTGTGGGTTATCAAGACC